GTCCAATCCCTTAATTTTTACAGATGAGGGAACTGAGAGCTCGTGAGGTAATGGGACTTGTCTAAGGTCACATAGATAGTAAAAGACAAATCCAGAATTTGAACCCAGGTACTCAGGCTTCAAAGCTAGTGCTCTTACCATTGTACCATAGGCACAGGATCTGAGCAGACTCTTGGGTTCCACATATGAGGCAACACAAGGTGGTAGGAAAAGCCCTGGGATAGGAGTCAGGATTTCTAGTCTTGGCTTTATTAGTAACTCTCTACATGACCTTGGGCAAGTCACTTCCCTCCATGGGCAGGTGACTCTGAGACACAACATGGGATAATGTGGAAATTATAAAGGATTTCTAGTCAGAAGACCTGAATTTGAATTCTATCTCTGCTACTTGCTTTCTGTGGGACCTTGAGCCAATCACTACTTCTCTGGGCATCAGTTTCCTCATCTATAAAGTGAAGAGATTCTACTAGGTGACTTCAAAGGTCCTTTCCAGCTCTCAGAGTCATATTCTATGTTCTAAAGATCTGTCCAGCTCTGACATTCTATGTGCTAAAGTTTCTTCCAGCTTGGAATTCTGTGATCCCAAAGGCCATGACTCACCAGAAGTGAGGGACCATAGGATGACGGATTCAGACCTGGAAGGGACCTGAGAGGTCATCTAATCCAACTCCTTTTTTTTTTTTTTGGCCAATGAGAAACTGAAGCCCAGAGGGGTTAAGTGAGTTGCCCAAATTCACACAAAGAGTAAAAAATGAAGTTAGGATTCAAACCCAGATTCCCGGACTTCAGATCCCACGAACTAGGGCAAAGACTTCCTCCTTGAGAACCTGTGACTACTCATTGATTAGACAAGATTCCAATTCACTGTTGAAACTGAACACTTTCATAGAAGTAGAAGGAAACAATCTAAAGTCTAAATAAGTTACAGTAACACACTCACTTTGTCCAACAGAATTCAGCTATTCCTGGCTCTCTCAGAAGTTCTGAGGTTTCATATAGATTCATACTGGAGATTTTGTTACCAGGATCTGGTTTGCCAACCCAAATTCCTCAGGAACAGCCACAGACTGAGCTGTTTATAGGGAGGAAAACTTCAGCTCATTGTAAGAATTGTTGCAGTTTTTCAGCTGTGTCCGACTCTTAGTGACTCCATTTCTTGGCAGAGATACTGGAGTGATTTGCCATTTCCTTCTCCAGCTCATTTTAGAGATGAGGAAACTAAGGCAAAGAGGGTCACTAAGTGACTTGCCCAGGGTCACATAGCTAGTAAGTGTCTGAAGCCAGATTTTAATTCAGGAAGATGACTGCAGGCCTGACGTTCTATCCACTGTACTACCCAGCTGTCCCAGTATACAAAAGAACTTCCTAAATATCAGAACCATCCAGCAATGGAAGGGGCATGAGCTCTCTGTCATTTTAAGCCATGGCTAGATGAACATTTGCCGAGGATATCAGAGGGAGGGATTCATGCTTAGGTACGGGTTGGACCAGATGAGCCCTGTGGTTGCTTCCAGCATTGAGAGTCTATGATTCAAAGTCACAATACTTGTTTATTTCCAACAACTGTTTTTCTTCTTCTTCCTAAATCTTTGATTACAAAAAGAAAGCTCCAGGTCATCCTTAGACTCTGACATCTAACTTGCACCAAGCTAGCCTCCCAGTGGGAGGACTAGAATTTCCATAGGAAGAATTCCACTGGGATCTGCACAACATCTTTGGCCTATGTCCGTGAGGCCAGAGCAAACACCCTTGCTTGGGTCTATAGGGAGTTCAGCTGAGGCAATACATGATGGTAGTGAGAATGGGGCTGGGGTGGGATGGGGGGGTCGGGGAGGGGAGAGAGGAGGGAAGGATATTTTTCACATAGTAAGCACAAAGGATGCCTGTGTTAGCTTTTCCTATAGCTCAAAGTAAAGCCAAAAAAGGATCCATTTTATCCCAGAGAGGGAAGGAGACCACAGCCTACCCTGCCCTCTTTCCTTCACAGTGAACAATAACCATTGTCAGGTAGCCATAGCTCATATCTGTTGCCTGAAACTACTAATGGACAGGAAAAAGGAATAGGTAAGTCAAACGTGGTTTAGGCCCCTTTAGTTTCCTCCTTTGATAAATGGGGGTTTGGACTACATTATCTCCAAGATAATTTCCACAAATGGTATTCTATGATCATAGATACCAAAGGTATTAGGAATACAGTTTTTAAAGTACTATTATTAATTATAATAATTTTGAGTAGCAATGGGGGAGGGGAGAGCTGTGGCATAACTGAACAAGCACTGGACTCAGGATTCCTAAGTTCTTTTTTTTTTTGGGTAGGCAAGTGAGTTGCCCAGGGTCACAGAGCTAATGTCAAGTGCCTGAGGTTGGATTTGAACTCAGGTCCTCCTGACTCCAAGGCTGGTGCTCTATCCACTGCACCACCTAGCTGCCCCTGGACTCCTAACTTCTAACACTGGTTCCGCTATATGATCTTGGACAAGTTACATCTCTCTGTCACTCAGTTCTCTCTACTGTACTAAAGAGCTAGTAATACATACCTTGCTTCCTTTACAGAGGTTAGAAGGACCACATGTAAAACTTATGTAAAAATTCTAGCCATAACTGAGTTCCATGCTTCATTCTCTCTCACTTGGACTATGTGCAACAGCCTCTTAGCCTTTAGTGTCTAACTTTTCTAAACCATCCTTCACATAACTGTGTAAGTCACCTTTTCAAAAGCTATTGATGGCTTGCCATTTCCTACTGAATGCAATTCTAATTCATTTGCTTGGCATTCAAGGCTCTCCAAAATGTTACTATACCCTTTTTAGCTTTATTTTACTACTCTCCATTATGTACTCTACTGGACTCAACTGGATAATTCCCCTGAAGATGTGCCACCATCTCTCATTACCAGACCTCCATGTCTTTTTTCAGATTGTTACCTATGCTTAGAATGCCCTACGCCCATCTTCAACTACCCATCCTTTAAAGATTACCCCAAATGTTGCCTCTTTCCTAAAAGTTTTCTTGATCCTCTCCAGACAGAATGAATCTTTCAATGGTACATGGCAGCAACTATTTAATAGATGTTTAATGAATGAATGAATGGTTTTGCAAATGGTAAAACACTATACAGATATGAAGTATTATCCTTTACGCATTGCTTCTAATTAAAACTTGGGGAGATATAAAATGTGTTCACTGGGAATTTGAACTGAACTGAACCATGACCTAAAAATCAGAATGTGCTGAACTAATTTGCTAAACCCCAAACTGAGTCCAAATATTATTTTAACTGAACCATGAATGAAACCAAAAGTTTTTTTTTAAAGGAACACTAGGGGATCAGATCAAACTGGAAGCAAGCCTGGATGTTTTCTAACACAAATGAACTGGAAAAAAACTGGAACATTTGAATATTCTATGGAGCTGCCCTATAGGGAACAAGATTTCATCAGGTTCAAACTATTGAAATCAGGTGCCAAAATAATCCCTCTTCCTATTATTTTAGGGGTAAACATGGACTTTTCACCTAACACATTTTTGAGTACACTTGTTAAAGCTTCAAAGATCAAAAGAATCACAAATGCAGTGGAAAGAGCCTTGAATTTGGAATCAGAGGATCTAGGTTTGGGTTACTACCTTACTAGCTATATGTATGACCTTGGGCAAGCCACTTCCCTTTTTTAGGTCTCATTTTCCATATCTGAAAAAATGTGGATAATATTATTTGCAGTATCTACCTCACAGGGCTATTGTGAAGGAAATATTTGGTAAAACAGAAAATCTTATTTGAATCTTAGAACTTGAATGTAATTGTTATTAAAGCTGGAAGACCCCTTAGAGAGAGTCTAATTCAGCCCTCTTATCTCACAAAGGAGGATGCTGGGCACTACAGAGAGAAAAAGACTTGCTCAAAATCATATAGTGAGTAGATGGCAGGGCCAGAACTAGAATCTAGGTCTCCTTCCCTGTCCAGGGGTCTTCCCACTGCCCCACATAAGTTCGGCATAAATAAAAGAAAACCTCCGAAGGGGGAATAAACTTTAGAACTCATCATGCATCTGCCAGAAGTGGTTGAGTTTGAAGACAAAATGAACTTTAAATTTGGGTAGAAAATCTCTAGACGTTTGAGGACTCTCTAAATTCTGACTTCCAGTTTGGGGAGCATCACCAAGCCCTCTACCAAACGAGTCTCCAACTCATGGATAGTTATTCCAGAAACAGAACCTTGGGCTCAGTTGGGGAAGGAGGCCGCCATAGGGAGAGGCCAAGAGACAAACCGAGAGGCCAGGAAACTAAGGATGAAAGCCTTCAAGTACAGCTTCTCATTTCTTCTCCAGGCCCCTAGTTCCTCTGCTCCCCACTTTTCTCTCCCGAGTCCACCCGGTGATGGCCCTTCCCTCTGTGTTCTTATAAGGTTCCGCTTCACACAAGGCATCGGCTCAGGGCTCATTGCCTAGCCCAAACTAGTCCTAGCCCCACACAAGAGAAGCGCCTGGCGCCGCCTCTGTCCATGGTACTGAACCAGGAGACTCCCTCCTGTGCGTCCTGGAGGCGCGCACAACACCTAGGTTCCGAATCCGAACCCCTGTGCCCCCAGTCCCCACAGGCTCCCTTCCTTCTCCATCCCAGCACTTCGTCCCCACTCAGGATCGGGCTCGTAATCCCGACATTTCCGCGAGCCCCAAACCAAGCGCGACCCTGACCCCAATAGAGCTCCACCACCACCACCACTTGCCACCTTCCTCAACTCGTGACCTGGGCCCCAGAGGCCCTCCCTCAGTGGGCCCGTGACCATGACCATGTCCGTGTCCCACTCTTCACGTGCTCCAGGAGGGCTGAGCCCCGGGGCCAGAACCCCGCCCTGGTCCCCAAGTCCCCCGGGCCTCTGCGCGCGGTTCTAACAAGCAGGGCCCAGGGTTGGACCCCTCTCCCGGTCATAGTCCCCTCCCTACAAACCCCAGACTTGGATCTCTCGCCCCTCTCCCCCTTCCTGGGACCTAGCTCGTACGCACCTGGCCCGCAAAGGGCGCCTCGTGGGCCGCCCCTGACCCCGCCGCCGCCGCCTCTTCCCTGGCCCCGGCCCCCGCCGCCGCCCGCACGGCGCCCAACAAACAGCACAGCGCGGGCAGCCAGCGGCTCCGGCTCCCGCTCCGGCTCCTGCTCCGGCCCGGCCCGAGGGCGCAGCGGCCCCGGCTTCTCAGCATCTCCGCGGCGGCGGTAGCTGCAGCGGCGGGGCCGGGCCGGGGAGGGCGGCGGGGCCGGGCGGGGGCGGGGGCGGCGGGGCCCGGCTGCGATGGCGGCGGCTCCGGCCGGGTCCTCCCGCTGCAGCCGCTGCGGAGCCGCCGAGTCACGGCGCCGCGGACACGCGCCCGGCCCTCCCGCCTTCGTCCCCGCTACCGCGGGCGCGTCCTCGCCCCTGCTCCAGTCTCCTCCTGGCGCGTTCCCGCTTCTCACCCCAGGCTCAGCCCCACCCCCAGCCAGGCGCGTCCCCGCCCCCCACGGGACCACCCCGGGGTGACCGGTCCTGAGAGCTGGAAGTACTGCTTGGAGAAGGACTTGTAGCCTGGATCTACCAACTCCCTCCACCCCGAGTAAAGTCTGCAGGAATGTCCTGGGGGAGGGGGCAGAGGAGATCCCTTGGGAGAGAGTCTCAGGAGAGCCCCTAGGGAGGAGATACGCATGTGATTGGTGATAGGAATGCAAAAAGGTTTGAGCACAGTCCTTACCCTCAGGGAGCTCACAGTTTAGTCGGGAATACCGTAGAAAGAGAAAAGGGTACTAGAATTTCCAGACAGGCTCTACTTAGTGCGGAAGTGAATATCATTCCCCTCGATTGTTTGTTTACTGAAGCTCTAAGAAAAAAGCTCTTGCTGACGACAGAGGCAGTGTGTAAGCTCTTCTGGGGAGTCGGTAAGATTTCAGCTGGCCTTGAAGAATCAGACTTAGGTAAATGGAGGTGAGGGCAATGAGGAGAGAGCGGGATTAAGGACCCGAGGCAGGAATGCATATGTCATTGTTTAGAGTAAAAGAAGAGAAAAGTGAGAGACAAGTCTGTAAAAGCAAATTGGCGACAGAGGCATGGACTAGATGACCTCTTAAGACCCCTTGAATGCTATTCATAGCAGTTTAGACCTTATCCTGTAAACAACGGGGAGTCATCGAAGTGCATGCAAGAGGGTGACAAGGTGGCAAGCAATGCTTTATTTCCTATCCAATCCCATACTTTCCTTCCTAGTTGAATGTCTTCCTCTGTACTCCTGCAATAATAAATAATATGGAATTTCAAGCTTTAAGAAATGACAGGATAATCTCACCCAATCCTCTCATTTTATTTTTCATTCTAAAATTATCGATAAAAGTTCTCTTAGTACAACACACCCAAACACTGCCTTTCTACAAAGTATGTTCCATGAAAATAGTTTGTCCCTTGTTAAGAAAAAAGAAAACACACTAACAGTAACTGCTGAAGTTCATCAGAGGTTTGTTGTCTCTTTCGTTACCTTTACGTTGTTGTAAGAGGCGGCTAGGTGGCGCAATAGATAGAGCACCGGCCCTGGATTCAGGATGGACCTGAGTTCAAATGCGGCCTCGGACACATAACGCTTACTAGCTGTGTGACCCCAAGTCACTTAACCCCATTGTCCAGCCCCCCCCCAAAAGAACTTTACATTGTAGTCATTGTATATATTTTTTCTCTCGTTCTGTTTCTTTATTCTGAATTACTTAAAACAAGTCTTCCCATGTTTCTCTGAAAATTTCCTATTTGTTACTATACCTTTAAGATATAGTAATATTCTGTTACTTTCATATGCTAGAGTATGTTACCCCAATTACTAATCATATATTTGCTTCCAGTTTTTTTTTATCACAGATAATATAGCTATGAATATTTCTGTACAAGGGATCTTTTCTTTTTAATTTCATTTTAAGTTTTGCTTTTTATTTTTACATGACAGTCCTTTCCTGATAATCCTTCCTGCAACTTTTCCCACTATTGGACAAACCAAAACCACCAAGGTGGTGACAAGGTCTAACATCTCTAGTTCTCCATTTATCAACCAATAGAAGAGAGTTATGTTTCATTATCTATTCTCTTGGGACAAGATTGGTCTTACAATGAATCAGAGTTTAACTACCTGTCAGTGTTATTTTTATTACATTACATATTGAGTGTTGTGTATTTTCCTGGTTCTGCTTATCTTACCCTGCATTAATTCATACAAATCTTCCTATGCTTTTCTGAATTCTTCATCTTTGTTTCTTATGGAATGTTATTATAATCACATTCCATTCTAATCATGCATCACAATTTGATCAACAATTCCCCCAAGTCATATTGTTTCTAATTTTTTGTTAATATGTCTTTTCTATCCACCAATAACTCCCTTTATGTTATAGGATCATAGTCTCATAGCTACAGAGCTAGAAGGGACCTCACAGACCATCTAATACAAAGTCCTTATTTTACACATGAAGAGGATGAGACCCAGTGGGGTTGTGACTTGTCCAAGGTCACACAAGTAATACATGGCAGAGCCAGGATTTGAACCCAGTTCCTCTGATCCCAAATTCAACAGTTTTCCTATTAAAGATAAAGAAACCAAAGCTCAAAGAGTTTTCCCAATATCTCTCAGCAACAGAGCTGGGATTCAAACTCAATTCTAACTCTAAGTACAATTCTCTTTTTACTATCCTATCATATGCCTTTGGGAGTCCCAGGTCCCAGTCTCCAGGTCAAAGGTCATGAACAGTTCAGTAATTTTTCTTTCCTAATTCCAAATTGTTTTCCAGAATAGTTTAACCAAGTCACAATTTTAGCAGCAGTGAATAGCATACCTGTCTTCTTACATTCTCTATACCAATAAGTTTTCCCATCTTTGCTGATTTAATAGGTATGAGGTGATACCTTAATCCAACATCTTGATTTTATCCATTTTAATTGATACTATTTGCCCCTTTTTTTTTTATTACTTTCACTTCCCAAAGTCCTCCCCCCAACTTCCTTTGTAACAAATAGATAAACAAAACAAATACATTGTCCTTGTCTGAAAACATACAAGTTCTGAAGTTTTTCAGTATTGTATTCTTTTACATTATTATAGTTACCATGTAAATTGTTCCCTTTATTTAGTTTACACTATTCTGTATAAGTTAATACTAGTCTTCTGATGTTTCCCAAAATTTGTCACATTCCATATTCTTTATAACATTTACTTATGTTCATACATACCAGAATTTTTGTCAGACCCATTCTCCAATCAATGGACAGCCAATAGCCTCCTTGGGATATAGTTAGTTGTGGACTCTCCAGGTCAAAGTGATCTGGCCCAGTAACTTAATGACAAGGCAATTTAATAATACAAATTTTACTCAGTTCTGCTTATTTGACTCTGCTTTGGTTCATACAGGTTTTCCTAGGCTTCTTTGGATTCCTCATATTTGTCTTTTTAATTGTATAATAATATTCCATTACACTAATATAGCATATGAATACACCTTATGATAGCCTATGTAAAAGCAGAGATATGTTATGTCATGTATGAAGAACAGTAAGTCAGTCTACTTTTTCACCTATTCCCCACTCAGTGGACAATAGGTTTATTTCCAGTTCTTTGGCACCATAGCAGCAAGAGTGCTGTTACAAATATTTTGGTATTTATTGGACCATTGTTTCTGTCTTTGAATGCTTTGGGGAATTCAAAGACCAGTAATAGAATCTCTGAGTCAAAAGGCATGGATGTTTTAGGCATTTTTCTTGAATAATTCCACACTAAAATAATGGTTGGACCATTTCCCAGCTCCATCAACAATGTATATACCTATCTTCTCACAACTTCTCCAAGTATTGACTGTTCCTGTCTTTTGTCACCTTTTCCCATCTTTGCCAAATTGCATAATGTGAAGCAAAACCTTAGAATTGTTTTATTTTGGATTTTCTTTACTATTAGTGGTTTGGAATGTGTTTTCATCTGATCATTTATAGCTTACAATTCTCTTCAAGTCTGTTCAGATCTTTTGACCGCTTGTATATTGGGGAATGGTTCTTGAAGTTATATATTTGTTTCAGCTCCTTAGAACTTTAATTGCATAATTACATACTGTTTCCTAGACTAATTAAACAATTTACAGCTAGGCCAATGGTGAATTACCATTTCCTTTTTCTTATAGCCTCCCCCACCCCCAGAAATGAAATTCACCCTCTTATACCATCTTAACCAACCTGCTCATTTTATAGAGTGGAAAACTGATCCCCAGAAAAGAAAAGGGATTTGCATAAGGTCACATAGGTACTAAGTGGTCTTCTAACCAGTATTTCTGCCTCCAGTCTCTTACCTTCATTCCCTCTTGCAGACATCGCCAAATTAATCTTCCTAAAACACTGATTGACAATAAAAGGTAGTATGATATATTGGAGAGAGAATTCATCTTTCCCCCAAACTCACCTTTCTTCCCTCACTCAGCTCCTGTGGTTGGGGGCACCACCCTGCTTCTAGACACCCAGATTCACAACCATATAGTCATCCTTGACACTTTACTCTTTCTCCATCTCCAAATCAAATCGGTTGTCAAATCTTGTCATTTTCCCCCTTCTACAATGTCTGTTTCATCTGTCCCCTTCTTTTCTCTCTCATGAGGACAATACTAGTTCAGGTTCTCATCACTTATCTCTTGGTCAATTACTATAGCCTCCTAATTGTTTTCCCCCTCCCATTGTCATTCCCCTCTCCAATCCATCCTTCACATAGATGCCAAATTGATAATCCTAAAGCACAGGTCTAACCATGTCACTTCCCTGACCCAAAAAGCTTCAGCAGCTCTCTATTGACTCTTGGATAAAAATAAAAACTCTTGGGGTTTTTTTGGTATATAAATCCCTTCCCTTCCAACAATGTCTTAAATTTATCTTTTCAGGTTGCCTTTACATAACTTCCCTTTATTATCTCAAGTCCTGCCCAAGTAGACTTACTTGCTGTTTTTCATACATGTTAAAACTCTGGTTTTACACAGAAGATTTCCTGTGTCTGTCCTCCTCACCTCTACCTCTTAGACACACTACCTAAAATATAGAATGTAAATTCTTCTAGTAGAATAGAAAACCTTGGAGAGAAGGGACTGCCTGACTTTTGTATTTCTATTCCCAGTGCCTAGCACATAATGAGAGCTAAATAAATTCTTTTTTACTGTTTGCCTTTTGATTGATTTTTTAAGGTTTGGCTCAGGTGCAGC